ATATCCAACAAATGAAATAAATTTTAAGTAAAAAAGGCCATCATCTACTCTCTAGTTGTCTAAGTGGCTGATAGGGGCCCGAGGACTTGGCCATCTTGTGCTGCTTTCCCCAAGCCATTAGAAGGGATCGGGAGTGGAAGGGAAGCAGCTGGGAGCACCCAGTTAGGATGCCAGCATCACAGATGGTAGCTTAACTCACTAGGCCATAAAGGATTGCATATTTATAATACACTTCAGTGTGATATCTTCCGAGATCATTAAGTTAATTATAAAAGGACATTTCTCATCTTGGGACTGCTTACCTTCATTAACTTCATCATTTTCTTTATCTACTTGTGCTTTCAAAACATATCGTTTTATAAGTCTTTTCATTATTTGCTGTTGGGCAAAAAGAAAACATCAAATCACCAGTGATATACATAAGGACGCTGGTTCCTAATCACTAAAGAACCTTGAAAACCTGTAAAGCAAACTCAGAGGAGAACTGTATGTCACTAGTAACAGAAGAATTACAGAGGTTTTAGAAATTAACCCCTTTACACCTGCTGAAATACTGCATAATCCACAAGCATCCTTTTCTCTCCACTCCAGGACTAGAAGCTTTCAACACAAACTAAAGTGGGAAAATTTCAATTTATAGTTTCTCCTTCAATGAATGGCTTCTTTTTATTTAAGTCATACTGACTTTATATTTTGACTTGAACTCACTATTTATCTTGATGTTTTTCATGTAAAAGAATATACGAATAAAGAGAATTTAGATATTTAGAGAAGGTCAGAAGAAATAAAATCATGGCTAAGTATACTATCTAAAGATATTCACTTATTTTGATGTATATCCTTCTAATATCTTTGAGTTATGTATACATACCAATACTGCATGTATTACCTTTTATGATTTTAAAGTATTTCATGTTCTTTTATATTGCATGCTTATCTTCCACAGCTTTATAAATGCAGTCTCTATATTTCACTAAATAAATGTTATAGCAGCAGAATTATCTTACAGGGTAATTTTTTTATACGTATGGAAAAGTTAAATGGAAATCCTATTTCAAATCATGAATAAAAAATCAATTCCATATGCACTCAAAGTATGAAAGACAAAGCTTTTGAATTCTTTAATAAATAATAAATAAATTTCAAGATAAAGTTGGATTTAAAATGGTAGATTCTAATAAAAACAGAAAATATTGACAAATTTAATTTCATTCATTTTCTAAAATACCATGAAGAAAGTAACAAGGTAAGCTATGAACTGGAAGAAAACACTATACATAAGTATAACTGACAAATAATTTGTTTCCAAAAGCATGAAGAACTTTACTTGAATAACAGCTCAACCAAATTTTAAAATGGACAAAAGATTTCACTGAAGCAAAAATGTAAATGCTGAATAAGCTTTGGAAGCTCTTTTCTTGTGGAAATGCAAATTATAACAAAATGATATGCAAACTTTCATCAAATAAAGGGAAAAGAAACTTGATACTACCAAGTGTTGAAAAGTATATGAGTCAATGAAGACTTTCATATATATATAAACAGACCACTCTGAAAATAATTTATTATCTTGTAAAGTTGAATATATGCACAACCTTTATCCAAAATGTCCATCTTTGGTATAGAACCTAGAGCAACTTTGCAGACATAAAGCAAGAGATATAATAGTTTATATGCAATGCTTATAGCAACCCTTTCCCAAAGAGCAGACACTTGAAACAATTTAAACACGTAGCATACAGAAGAAGAAACAAAGAAATTGGAGCAGTGTACACAATGTAATCCCATTGTGTTCCAAGGACCATTCATGGACCACAGTGTGGATGACACAGTATGGATGAAACTCTTCTAAAAAGCTCCATGACAAGTGTGTATGATACATTTTAACGATTACCTATATTTGCAATAAACTTATTTGAAAAGAACACTGTAACAAGAGGATCAGAAATCCCCACTTCAGGATAGAGATTTCCTTTTAAGTTGGAGGTATGAGGATGGAGTAGAGAAGAAAAAGTGGAAAAGGGGGATGAGTAATATTAACTATGACACAAAATGGTGATTTCACAGTTGGGCATCTGCTTGTTCTTTACAACTTACTATGTGTAACATCCATACTTATGCATGTATCAAATATCACATTTCAAATACAATAAAGGAAAAGGAGCTGGAGGAGAAATTACATAGACAGTAAGGCAAGTATATACATCATATTTTTGAGGAAGCAAAAATTATGGACCTAACTGATTCACCAGATGCTAAGGACAAATAAAACAGATGAATCTATGATGACTCAAAATCTGTTTTAGAGAAATTGAGCAGGAAAAGTATATTTTACTAGTTAAAGTACAAAACCTGCTGGCTTGTGTGGAATCTAGACCTCAAGAAAGACTCATAAGGGGGTAGATCCTTACACTAGATTCTTTTATTCATTCAGCAAATATTTATTCATATCCTCTTTTGTGTCCAGGACACTCCTTGGTGTCAGGAATACGGTACTAAAGGTAGTTCCTAGACAAGTGAGATTTCTTGTCTGCACAGAACAATCCGTTATGACAGGTAAGCCCCACAGAAATCTTAATAAGTTTAAGGGACAGCGTGCACAGATCCCTATAAAAAGAAAATAAAAAGCATGCACATTAGTCAAAAGCAATCTAAAAGTCAGTAATACAAATCAGTGAGGAAAAAAAGACTATTAGACAAAAAAGCTAAGGCAACGGATTAACCATATAGGAAAGTTAAAATTAGATGTCAGCCTCACCCCATGTATCATAAGAGTCAAATGGACCCAATGCCTATGTGTGAAAAGCAAAGATTTTAAAGAAAAAGATCAATTCTGAATATATAAAACAACAAACCATGAGGAAAAAATTGAGAAATCCATATTCAGACCATTTTTAAACTTTAATATAATAAAGGATAGCAATGAAAAATAGCCTGATATCAAGAGAAATTCCTATGTGAATATCTGTACCCATCAAAGTCTTACATTACTGAGACAAAGAAGGTAGGAACTTAATTCAATTATAGTGTTTGAAGGAGGAGTTCTTGGAAAAGTGACTTAAATTAGATCAGAATAGACTGTGGTAGCTTATACCGAGAGATGGAGAGAGAGAAAGAACAAGACAGACATTCACACCTGCCTGTCTCTTTCCATGTGACACTTTGCACTGCACCTCAGAACTCTAACAAGTAGGTCATGCCAGATGAGAAATATGAGCTAACATAAGCCTCTTTCCGTTATAAAGACATCCTCTCTATAGCATTTTGTTCCAGTGATGAAAACCTATTGAACACAGAGATTATTTGGAACTGATAAAACCTAATTCCAAAACAAGGCATGATCAGTATCTTGTGCAATCAAACTGTCATTAGCAGCTGGGACTAGCCACTTGCCCTTAGGGCTTCCCTGAGACTCACCAGACCAGAACTGAAATGACCACGCAATCCCTCTTCAACCACGCAAGGAAAAGCCATGAGAGCCAGAAGGAATCCGGGTCCTTCAGAGAAAACAGGTTATTTTCTCCCCTTACTGTGAGAAAGGAAGATAGTGTTCCCCACCCAGGAAAGAATGGAATCCGTGGTGGTTACTCAGAGAAGAATAGAGTTGTCTGAAAAAAGGAAGCCAGGAATGCTATCCATAGTAGGATGTCTACTCTTGTCAGTTTGCTTCCAGTCATTAAACTAGGGAGAGAAAAGAACTGAGAGCGGCTGGCATCGTGGCACAGCTAGCTAAGCTGTTACCTGTGGCACCAACATCTCATATGGGCACCGGCTTGAGGCCCAGCTGCTCCATTTCAGATACACCTTCCTGCTCATGGCCTAGGAAAGCAGAACAAAATTGCTCAAGTGCTTGGAGCCTGCAACTCAGGTGTGAGGATCCAATGAAGCTCCTCCTTATGCTTACACCCCGAGAGCCACCGACGACTTGAGGGTGAAGGAAAAGAACCTTAGATCTGATCTGGAGACAAGCTTTAAAATGATTAGAAATATGAGATTTCCTAATAACCAGAGACTAGAAAACCAAAGGGGAAGAAACTGGGAAAAGTTAGGAGGAAATTAGTGAAAACAAATTAATTGTTATGCGTTCACAGCAAGAGACTCCTTAAGAAACCCAGGATACAAAGTGAAAACAAACCAAAGAGAAACTGTTTGCAAAATATACTAAGAATCAGTCACCAGGATTTTGACAAAGCAATACAAAGACAACAAACAGTGTTAGTAGAATTATGCAAAAGAACTTAAGTTCACACAAAAAGAAAACCTGAATGACTACAAAAAGCTCTTCAGCCTCACTGATGAAGAGTAATTTGAGTTTGACACTCTTTTTTCACTTTTTTTTCTTTTGAACAAAATTCAAACCTACAGAAAAGGGGGAAATGGAGTAACCCAAACTCTGCATACACTTTATTTAGATTCACTAATGTTGAAAATCTGTCACTATGCTTTTCCTTCTCTCTCCTACGTTATATTGCTGAAATGTTGCAAATTAATTTTCAGATAGCATTTTCCTCTGTTCTTGGATAGTTCACTGTCTATCTCCTAATAAGTAAATGCTACAATGATCAAGTTTATAACATTCACATAGATCAAAAACTGTTTAATACATAGACCATATTCTGTTTTGTTTTCTCAACAAAATATTGCTTGCTGCTGATAGATACCACGTGTCTTGGGGCAGATGCTGTGATACAGTGGCCTAAGTCACTGCTTGTAATCCCAGCTTGAGTCCTGGCTGCTTCCATTTTCTGCCACCCTGCCACCATGTAGGAAATTCACACATAATTCTTGCCTCCTGGCTCTGCCAGACTCAATCCTGGCCCTTGTAGCCACTTAGGGAGCAAAGCAACAATAAGATTTCTTTATCTCTGTCAGTCTATGTACAAAGAAATAAACATATCTTTAAAAAAAAAATTTAGCCTGCACAGCAGCACCCAGGGAACTGAAGTCTGGTGAAGAACAGGCCGGCCTTTGAGCTCTAGTGCCACAAGATTACAGCCACCATGGGCTCAGATGTAAAAGTCCCTTGCGATTTTCAACTGTTGGAAGACCTCCAAGTTGGCCAGAAAGAACTAGGAGATGGCACAGCTAGCTGGGGTCTAGAAGATGATAAAGACATGACACATACAAGATGGCCAGGGATGATAACTGAGCCTCCAACAGCAATTTACAAAAGTGTAATATACAGTCTTAAAATAGAATGTGGACCCTTATCCCCAGAAGCTCTCGCCTCTTTGTACGACTTCTAACAGAAATTAATATGAACGGGGGCCTGGCCCAATGTCCTAGTGGATAAAGTCCTCGCCTTGAACGCCCCAGAATCCCATATGGGTGCCGGTTCTAATCCCGGCAGCGCCACTTCCCATCCAGCTCCCTGCTTGTGGCCTGGGAAAGCAGTCAAGAACAGCCCAAAGTCTTGGGACCCTGCACCCGTGTGGGAGATCCGGAAGAACTCCTGTCTCCTGGCTTTGGATCGGCACAGTACCGGCTGTTGCACTCACTTGGGGAGTGAACCATCAGATGGAAGATCTTCCTCTCTGTCTCTCCTCCTCTCTGTATATCTGACTTTCCAATAAAAATAAAATAAATCTAAAAAATAAATAAACTAATACGAATGGAGTTAATAGTTGTAACGAAATGGTGGACCCCAGGGCCATCTCAGTGCTGGCCAGGTGGCAGAACCTGCAGAGCATCAAAGTCGTGCTGCAGGAACTCTGGTGCTTGATGATGGCAAAGAGAACCTGAAGCTCCTGCAGCCATCTGAAGCACAGTGCTACAGTAACGAGGCTGCAGCAAGCTGGCCACCAGGCAGGTGGCAGGCTCCACAGTAATTCATTTCCTAGGTTCGTCTTGTAGGCCTCCAAGTACTGGAAAGGAAGCTCCCATTCAAAGGCAATTTATTTAAGGATACTGTAAATGATATCAATTTTTTGTCCATTTGAAATATATAAGTTGTGTTAGAATATCATCCTATCAAGTGTAACCACGGTCCACGTAGTTGAACTTCCGGGATCAAGAAAACCTATTTAAATTGATTCCCACCCTCACTGGTGGGACACAGCTAACTCAACTGTGAAAAGACACGTCACACAGTCAGCTTGCTGGCCTGGGCCTCTCCCTCCCCCCAACACCCTTCCTGGCTGCATCCCCCACCACCACCGTGCCAACCTGCATCTTCAGGTGGCTCCTTAGGGGAAAGGTAAAGGTTACGGGGGGGGGGGGGCGAGGGACTACAGCAGGGGTGGGGAGGTGCTTCTCACCTTGGTTTCTTTCTTGAGTCTTACATGGTGCCTTCTCTAGCCATCACCCTGTCCTCTGCCCTCCACTAATGGCTGAAGCATAGATTGGAACCCTTCCCCCCCATGGCCCCCGAAATTGGCCTTCAGTGTTGACTTCAGGGCTCCCCGACACCTTGCTCCCCTACTGCATCGAGGGGTGTGTGCTCCCCTCTCCCTCAGGACTTTGGTGTTCTGTCACCTCTACCTCTATTCCAGCAAGGAGGCCTCCTGGGGTTGGGGAACCACATCCACTCTGCACCCGCAAGTGAGTGCCAAGGCCCCAGCCCTGCACTTGGGTCCCAGAAGCTGCAGAGGCACTCTCTCAGCTCAGATTCTGAGGGTGGTAGTGACCCAGACCTGCCAGTTCTCAGAGTCCTTCCTACTTCGGCATGGGGACAGGCTGTCTGGAGACCCAGCCACGCCCTGGAGTGCTCTGCATAGTCCTCTCCCATAAATGCTTCTGCTTTTCAACATGGAAGACTCCATGTTGTAGACAGGGCTCTCGCATGGGGCATCCACGGTCCCTTCAGTTGAATTTGGAATAAGACAACTGGAATGGAGAGAACGCTGGAGCCAGGCTGAGGGGCTGGACTGGTGCGGGTATGGAGGTGGAAGCCGGTGTAGACAGCAGGGCCTCGAGGTGGGCTGCCCAGGACAGTGCTCCATTGCCCCCTAGGACTAATCAAGGCTGAAACGTCAATGATACTGAAATAAAAGCCAGTTATGGTGTCCTCCAGGGGAAAAAAAATTCATATTTTAGTTTTCTTTAATCTGGAAGAGGTACTTGGGTTTTGTCTTTCATGAAGCTGAAATGTTTCAAGTGTACAGACCTTTTTTGTAGTTAATAAATATTTTGAACTCTGATAGTACCAACTAGTTATGAGAAACTCTTACACCCTGCTAATGGAAATATAAAACGACATAAGCACTACCCTGCTTCGCGCGTATTACCCAGGAAAACTGCTACCAATATGCAAAAAGCAAAACCCACATTTACTAAGATGCTCATTATTTCAGGATTTAAAATAGTCAAAAGTCTCACAGAACTAACTATTCTGCAGAAGATGAATGCATAAAGTGGCTTTTTCATACAATGGAACATTGTATAATAAATTAGAACGAAAACTGAGAGATACATCTGCCAACATAGATAAAAGTAGAGACAGTACAAGACATGCAACATTTATTTACATATATCTCAAAAACAAAATATTTTATGATGTGAATAGGTTTATATAACAAATAAATATAAACGTAAGTATACATGAGAAGAAAATGCTTGAACTTCAAGATAGTGAAAATCTCTGAGGAAGAAGGAAATCTATTGTAATGAGATGAAATGTTTGACTTGTATCAAAAATCTTGCACCAAAAAATCCAAATAGGGCAAAATGTTTACATTCATTACAGCAAGTTGGTAGTGACTTATAGGATATTCATAATAGCTCTCTACATTTAAAATAACCTATAATTAAAATTTTAAATCTAAAATAATAACTATTAAAGTAATTATCTACATTTTTATAAAAAATATTTATTTGAAAGGCAGAGTTAGAGAGGGTGGAGGAGGAAGAGAGAAAGAGCGAGAGAGATATTTATGGCTGGTTTTCTCCTTAAATGGCTGCACAGGTAGGGACTGGGCCAGGTCAAAGCCAAGAACCAGGCCCTCATTCCAGATTTCCCACAAGGGTGGCAGGGGCCCAAATACTTGGGCAATCTCTTGCTGCTTCTCCCAGGCCTTTAGCAGGGAACTAGATTGGAAATGGAGCAGTTGGGATATGAACTGGCAACCATATTGGATGCCAGTGTCTCAGGCAGCAACTTCATCACCAGGTATCAGTTCCAATACATAGTTCTTTACTGCTGCCTAGCAACTGATGTGTCTGACTAGTCTGGGCATTCATGTCAACTTCAGCAATAACCCTTTGAATTGTGTGTCCACGGTTCAAGAGCTGTGGGATCCTGCTGCCTCATGCTGTATAAGGGAAATACTGGAATGTACCTTGTAGATTACACGTAAATTACTCAGCACAACTATTTTGTAATTATCACCCAGGCTTTCATAAAGCAAACCATTTTCAAAATGCTTATTTTCAACTACTTGAAAAGCAGAGAGAGCCTCTCTCTCTCGCACAGCTCAGAAAAAGACAGTAGAGAGATTTTTTCACCCACTCCCTCCACTGTTTCACTCCCCAAAGCCTGCTCAACCAGGGTGGTATCAGGCCAAAGGCAGGAGTGAGTAACTCCATTTGGGTGGCCCATTCTGGGAGGCAGGGCCAAGCACTTGAGCTGTCATTTGTTGTCTCCAGAATGCGTTAGCGGGAAGCTGGATTGGAAGTAGCTAGAACTCTGACATGGGGGAACAATTCTCCTCTGCTCTCCCATCTCCAAACAAATCTTAATTCACTTACATTAATAATGACACTATAAGCAAGGGCCATGAAATTCACAGTAAATAAAAAATTAATTTGTATATATTATGTTTAAACTATTTTTTTCATCAAAGCTCATTTCAAAACTTAAACTGACCCATAAAAGATTCATCTTTATTTCTCTCTTTCAGCAACCTTGCTTAACAGAAATTTACAGACTAATTTTCACATTTCATAAAAATCCAGGAATTGTCTAGATTTGGTATAAGCCAATGAGTCACCTTTTAAACAGCAGATGATAGTAACTTTTTATCCTGTCCAGGATATGGAAACCCAGAAATTCCAAAACTATAACTAACTGGCACTCTAACAGCAGAACCAGTTTAAACTCATTAGATTCTGTTAATAACAGGATCCTAGGCACCTTGTAAATACAGCAGAGCTCAAACTGCAAGGCAGGCAACTTGGGCATGTGCAGAGAAAGAAGCTTTTAACCTAAAGTAATACTTTGGAACCAACATTTCCATCCCACATAAGCACTGGGCATGAATGGAACCTTAATACCAGAACTCTTTTGGAAATGAGGATTCAGTTGACCCAAAGACCCTGTGCTGAGCTCCATCTCACTTGTGCCTTAGCATAAATGGTGTGGATCAAAAGACCCCAGCCCCAATTAAAAATTACCACAGCGGTGCTGTTGTGTAGCAGCTGAACAGCTAGCTGACCTCACCAAAACACTATCTTTTGTCCAAAAACTGGTGCTACAGTATTGATTTCTATGCATGTAAGACCTTGAGCTCTTGTCCACAATAGTAGCCAGGTGAAGATCCCAGGAAATAGACAGAACATTCATTCTTGCAAACAGAACCCAAGTTGGCTTTTTTTTTAAACTTCTTTTTATTATTATCATTTTATGATACAGTTCTGTAAGCCCTGGGATTTCCCTTATCCCTTTTCCAATACCCTCCTCCCTCAATGAATTCCCCTATATCATTACTATAGTATAGTTCTTCATACACAATCAAAATTCTATCATTGTGGGCATGGACAATGGCCAGAGTCCAGCATCCTATTGTAAAGATATAGTAAACAGTTTCATTGGGAGTCTATCTTTGATCTGAAGTACAGATGCATACTGCATTATATCCTCACATCTGGATATGACAGTCTCCATTACACAGTTGCTATACATCCCCATAAATGAAAAGCTATGAAAAAAATCAACAGCAGGAAGAAAAATAGAAATTTGCAATGCCTTGAAGTTAAATAACATGCTACTAGATATGATAGTCTCCACTCCACATTTACTATACATCCCCTTAAATGAAAAGCCACAAAACAAAATAACCAAGTTGACTTTCAAACCAAGAGAAAGAATTCCCATGTAGGTGGTTGGAGATTCTCCTTCCCAAAGGCATCAGAGCTTTTCTTTTTCTTTATTTTGTACCAATTCAAATTTAATTATCAAATGTTAAGAATGCTATGAGTTGTTTTCATACTCATTGTCTTATTTAATTGTATATGAAAGACCAATCTGTCATGCATAGATTTTGTGGTATGAATTTTAGAAACCTAAAAAAGGTGAGTTGAAATGATAAGGTTGGTTTGGACCCAGGAGTACAAAGTGAAGTTTTAAGAGGAAAGGGATCGGCACGATAGCCTAATGGTTACGGTCCTCGCCTTGAATGTGCTGGGATCCAGCTCCACTTCCCATCCAGCTCCCTGCTTGTGACCTGGGAAAGCAGTCGAGGACAGCCCAAAGCCTTGGGACCTTGCAGCCACACATGGGAGACCTGGAAAGAAGTTCCTGTCTCCTGGCTTCAGATCGGCGCAGCACCGGCCTTTGCAGCCACTTGGGGAGTGAATCATTGGACGGAAGATCTTCCTCTCTGTCTCTCCTCCTCTCTGTACATCCGCCTTTCCAATAAAATAAATAATTCTTTAAAAAAAAAAGAGGAAAGGGACTTTAGAAATATTTTTTCCCTTATTTTAAGGCAAGTCATTATGAGATTGCCTGACAAATTACCTTACACAGTCCCCGAATAAACATCTGTGATTCAGAGTCTGGTACTTTTTCCAGATAGCTAGCTGAATCC